GGGTTCAGTTTAGGAGCAAAACGGCATTTGAGAGAATTCAGATTCGCAAAAACTTTGGATTTGTCATGGTACAATTTTGATAAAACTGGGGATTTAATGGGATTTATTTTTAAATAAATTTCTAATTCAATAGGATCCATTTTTACGGAAGAGCAGTTTTTAAATATTGTTTTGAGGTTTCATTGTATTCATGTCAATCACAAAGCCATATGCTAATGACTTAACAACCTTTTAAGGTCATATTATTTGTAATGATTTTTCATTTATAGAACCTCTTGGGTTTAACATGGATTTTTATAGCTCAAAAAAAAAATAAATCTCTTTTCATAGAAATAAAAACTGTTTTCAGTATAATAAAAAATGTTTTCATAACAATAATCAAATATAAGCGAACGATGTACTGTTTTTTAATTTTTTACTCCCCAAAGTTACGTATTTTAACGATTAGTAATTGGTTGCAGCCATTTTTAGAAATGAAAATTTGAAAAAAAAACTTTTGACCTTTGTTTCCGGTATAGAGAGGTTTTTAGGTAATGAAATTCTAGGACTATATCCCGTAGACTTTTACCGACATGGTCCTGCCACTGAACATAATCAGAATAGATTATTAATAATAAATATATTAATAAATTATTAAATTCATTGATAAATGTTCATTAGCAGATACAACGAAATCATTAATTTCACGTTATCTGTTGCATAAATTTTAACACTTAATATGTTACATTGACTCAGTGACTGCACAAACAGCTCAGTAAATTTGACATTGATGGTGCAGTGATCAAAAAATAACTCATAAATGATAAAAATATTTGCAGCACATCCACCAACAGTAATAGTAACGAAACAACAGCAATAACATCAGAATGAAAATAAGAGCAAGTATATGTCACACCAACACCAACAGTAACAGTAAAGAAACAACAGCAATAATAAAAACAGCAATAACAACAACACGAAAATAAGAGCCAAGTATATGTCACACCAACACCAACAGTAACAGTAACTAAACAACAGCAATAACAACAACAGCAATAACAAGAACATCTGGTGTGCCCTCAAGTTGCTGCGGTCCGCAAAACTGCGGCAACATTCGCTGCACTGGAACGGCTTCTCTCCGGTGTGGGTGCGGATGTGGCCCTGCAGCAGCCACGGCCGCGAGAACGACTTGCCACAAATGTGGCACTTGCAGGGCAGCGTGTGCGTCCTGATGTGCATCTTGAGAGCCCCACAGGAAGTGTAGGTCTTGCCACATGTGGGGCACGAGTAGGACTTGCCAGGAGTGCACTGCTGTTGGTGGCGGTTGAGTCCCGCTATGGTGGCGTAGCGTCGGCCACAATGTTTGCACGCGCATCGCGTTGATGGAGGACTCGTGTCAGTCGAAGAGGAAGACCCATCGCTTCCTGGTGGGGACAACGACCCCGCTCTGCTGTGGTGGGTCGGGTACACGGCCGGGCGCCAGCTCTCCTTCAAGAAAGTCCGCAGGGGTGACCGAGGAGTCGGTGGAGCGTAGCAATTTTGTGAGAAAACTTTCTTTTCTTTTTGGACGGGAGTGGACGCTGAAGAAGAAGCAGGAGTGAATATCTGCGAAGCCTTCATCCTTGATGCCACTTCGCTGATCAACTGCAGGCCTTGATAAGCGGGCGAGCTGCTCAGTTTAGTACTAACATCCTTCCAGTCCGTGCAGCTTGACTCCGATTTAACTTCGGTTAAACCTCCGCCGATATTTTTTGCTATAAAACCAGTTTCAAACGCACGGGAAGAATGCTGCTGTTGAGGTCGGTGATCAACTTTATAGGAGGAAGCAGGGCCAGGCTGCCCCGGAAACGTAGGCAGTGAAGTTATAGGCGTAGAAAATTCGTGGCTAAAGGCTTCATTCGTTTTGGGCTTGTCGGTGTAGATTTTAATGTTACCATCAGCTGTGGTTACAATTTTGCGCGGATATAGAGGAACTACCTTTTTCGGAACTGGAAACTTATAAGGAACAGACAGCTTAGCGTATACTTTTTTGGACAAATCTGGCGATGCGCCTAAGTTTGAGTGAACTGAATCATATTTTTCATGATGCAACTGATGTTCATTTTCTCGCCTCGAGATGTTTCCTGCTTTATAGCTGAGATCGAGAGCAGCCACATCGTCGTGCCGTGGTAAGGCAATAGAATGTTGCTGGGTATGCCCAGATGTTGCCAGCACAGCCTTTGGTCGAAGCACTGAGTGCTGTGAAGCCCTCATGATTCCTTTGTGTGGCATGGAGGAGACTAACGGTCGGACGGTTCTGCTCTGAACAGAACTCGGGTGCCCGGGCACCGCTCTTGCCAGCAGATGATGCCTGATGGAATGAATTGCTGGGCTACCAGAATCTTTGAAATTTGTGGTTTTAGAAGTGGAATTCTCCATGGTTGATGTAGATGTTTGTTTTATTATCGATGCAAAAGTACTTCCTGGGTATGAGTTTTCGCTTTGGAATTTATTTTCTTGTGAATACGAAGTAAATTCTGACTTGATTTGAATTTTTGGAGCGTTTGAGTGGAGTGCTGATAAAGGCTGACGTTGGGCATGCCCCTGGGCACGGATAATGTCCGTCACGGACTTTAAGTCCGTCGGGTCGGGACGTTCTGTTTTGATTCGATTCATGGGCGTCCTGTCGACGTCAGCGATGGGTTGGTGGGCCCCGTGAGTTTTGGGAGTCGCGTGGGTTGAGTGGGATTTGGGAGTCGCGTGGGGCGAGTCGGTCACCAGGGGATCATGGATCTGCTCTTCAGAAGAATTTCGCTTCATCGTCAGGTCTTGAGGCTCCTCGTTCTCCTCATCTGAAAAAACACAATAGGAAAATTTTAGCAAAGTTAGCTGTTTGTTAGTTCTTAGTAAATCGTGTCATATATTAATAAGAATTCAGTTAGTAAAGTTTGCCGATTAGGGAGACAGTTGAATTAAAAAATTATTGAATAAAAATAAAATTATTGAATTAAAAAATTATTGAACGCCCACCACGTCGTTCATGATCGGATAATTTGATATCAAAATATACATTAACGTCAGTTACATAACCGTAAATTTGGGACAGAGTAATTTTTTATTTTAAGAAGCTGATTTCCCATCAGCTGGGTAATGCGTTATTCCCTCACTCATGAACACATCGATGTATCAAAGTAAACACACAAACAAACATTAATTGATTCAGGAAAAATGTAAAAAATACACATCAAGTAATACACTCAGAAAAATAAGTGAGTTTTCGTCTAAATAGAGATGCACTTATGGCGCTTGTTTGTCCCATTTTGATCAATATGATCCATTACATTTTCTGTGTGTAATCTTCAGAGGCACACGGCTTTCGCTGCATGGACACATTTATGACCCATTACAATGAAAACTGTGTCAATAGTGATGCAAATAAATGCCGGTAATATGACACATCTGTATTAAAATCACTTGTTTGCTTAAATCGCAAGCTAACTTGGAATTTAAAAGCGAAGACAATTAATACGACAAAATTCACCATTTCTTGACGTTTCCTCTTAAGAAGAAATGATGAAATATTTCGGTATTGTTTTTGCTTTTAAATTCCTGGTTTGACACGTCCGAGACATACAAGAAGCACGAGACATAATACCCATGCAACATTGTGATACACATGGGGCACTTAATAATAAATATAAAGAAATGACCGAATAATAACAGAATTTACTGCTCATCGAATCCCCTGAGCTATAAAATAATAACCGAAATAATAAGGCTCATGAGGCTCGATAACGAATAAAAGGCAATGTTTTAGTCTTAACCAAAACTGTGGCACACTGAGACTCAAAACAAACAAATTCATGACACATCTAAGACACACAATAACTGTTATTTCGACGCATTAGAGACACACTTGTGACACACTAAATGTGACACATTAAAGACACACTTGTGACACACTTAATGTGACACATTAGAGACACACTTGTGACACACTTTACACTTGTGACACATCAGAGACACACTTGTGACACATCAGAGACACACTTGTGACACACTTGTGACACACTTGTGACACACTTGTGACACACTTGTGACACACTTGTGACACACTTGTGACACATCAGAGACACACTTGTGACACACTTGTGACACACTTGTGACACACTTGTGACACACTTGTGACACAAGTCACCAAGGTTCAGGGTCGCTGAGACACTCACCCTGCTGGGGCAGCGGCCGTTTCTTAGGCGGGCAGCGTGAATAGTCGATGGGTTGAGTTGCTTGTGCCATTTTGTTGATAATTAATTTGATTATTGCTATTATTTTTACTATTATTAATATTGTTCGAGCTTGATTATTTTTTCACTTGTTAATCATCTGGGCTCAGTGACCAGTTGTAGCCGTGTATATATTTTTTATGTCTTGTTTCGTTGTTTTTCGCAAAAGTCACTCGGTATGAACGGTTATTATATGCAACTCGAGTATTAAATCCAGAATATACCGGATTATGAGTCTTGGTTTCACCGCAATATTGGTTGAAAAATTCTGCAGTGAAAGGTGTATTGAGGTACGTAGTTCACTTGTCAACTCGTACACCTTGTAATAATTATTAATTATTTTAATAATTCCTAATTATTGAAATTTGTCGGGAATAATTTTCACTTCCTACTTCCGCCGGTGTCGCGCGTGCGTATGTGGCACGTGCCCACGTCGTACCCTCTTATATAAGTTTGCGTGGCTCGTATCCGTGCTACGCCAACTGTCGTTTGCACGTCATCTATTCACCTTAGAATTTATCGGTAATCGAAAAACCTTTACCTCGGTCAACCAATCACAAGGCACGATATTGCAGACGTCACTGAATTAGCTGGGAGGTAGCCAATCATCGAACGGGATTCGTTTTCTAAAGCCTGGATTGAATCAAAGGAATAGGCATCAACCTGGGCACAGCCAGCCAATCAGCAGCGAGTATCAACGCGTGCCGTGACGTCATCAAATCCAGCCAGCCAGTCAGCGGCGAGGATCGACGCGTGCCGTGACGTCACCAAATCACGCGCTGCACGCGCCGCTTCAGCTTCCCGCGCGTTCACGTACAACTCAACCTGTTAATCAATTATTTATTTATATTAGTTTAAATACAATATAAACATGTTGGGATATTATTCTAGGTAATTGAAGATCAAAGGTAAAATGTTGGCTTTAATTAAAGGGAAGATTAAATTTATTTTGAAGTGAAAATGACGATGGGAAATAAATTTTGGATGAACCTGGCGAATGCGAAGCTCAGTGAGTAGCGACAAAGAGAAGCTCGCGACGGTTACAGGCAGGTGGTGATGCAGCTGCTGGTGGTGGTGGTGGTGTCAGTTACAGGTAACCAGTTACAGGTAACCAGTTACAGGTAACCAGTTACAGGTAACCAGTTACAGGTAACCAGTTACAGGTAACCAGTTACAGGTGACCAGCTGACCACACACACACGGAAGGGCAGCTGCTATGCAGATGGATTGCTTCCGCTGTAAACAAACCTTGCCAGGATGCGGGTGCCGAGAAATGCTCTGAATTATCATTAAAATCAGAGATTATCGGTACATTTGGGGCCAGGATTTTGACGTTCTCAGATGCCGAAGTAAATATTTCAACCTTTGAGGCAAGACAATTAGATTCATAATGAGCTCAAGAAATTTTAACCTGGAATAATTTTAAGAGTTCCGACTTGGCAGATATATATAAGCTTCAGGTGAGATTTTAATTGTTTACAAATCAAAATACAGAGGCTAAACTCTAATTATATTATTTCTGAGTGACAACTTTTTGAAATAAAATTGAAGGTTTAACATATTCCTAGTTTTTACGAAGAAACTGGTTAGTTATAGTTTAGATTAAATTACTGAATTTCTAGTTAATTCTTCAATTAAGTTTGTTTTATTCGATAAGATTATTTTAAAACTTCATTCGATTAAAAAAATAACATATAATTTTTACTCGTACACTTGAAGCTTTAATTAGGTTAAGTTAATATTCAAATTCAAATTGTTACTAACTATAAAACCAAATGCAAATGCAGAAGAACATATTAAGATGATGCAATACCAAGCGAGGAAATATTAGAGGTTTATTTTTTGATTTTTCAGAAATGAAAATTTTTAAACATTTCAGAACTCAAGGCAAGTTTTCATGGCAATGCGGTAGTAATATATAATAGATAATGTAGCATACATATATGATACCATAAACAATGAAATTATTATTGAAATGAAATTTTCATAATATTAGTTATTATATGTATCTCAAATTATTTGTTATTATAACATCATATGTTTACTTCATTCAAATGTTAATATATTTCACTAGCAAGATTGCCGTATGAAGTTTTTTCTGTATAACACATAAAAAGAACCGCTAGCATCATCGGCTCCTGTGCTGGCAGAGATTCACAAGTTTATTACCCAAGGTAGATAAATGTACGGGCTCGCATGTAACACGTATGCCATTTAGATGTGAAATTGAACAATATTCAACACATATGTAATTCCTCCCGTTAAACCGTATAATATTTCCAGCTACTTCAAACGTTCATTGTTATCAATCCTTGGGAATGCCTGATTCCTTAAATCCGCTCATATAGCCCATGATCAATGTTGGCATGAGAAACGAAGATGCTCAAAACTCTGCGGTTATTGCTCGCACAATTTTAGTTACGAGACAATTTTCTAAATAATGTCCTTTCGGCTAAATTTGGATGCAGACAATGAAAACCGTTAACTTTTTCCGTGGAAATTTAGCGTTAACTGCATGTTCTTTGACGAACATAATATCATAATCTACATGTAATCTTGAATTTCTGTTTCATTTTGCAATGTAGCGTTTAATCACTGAATTGATTCATTTAGAGTTTTAGACAACCACACTGAATTATTTATTTATTATTTTTTATTTTTCATTTATCATTTATTACCCTAAAGGCCCAAAATTGTTGAGAAAAACACTAAAGGACCAAAATTTTTGCACACAGGAAACAGGGACACAATGCAATATATTTTGCCAGTTTCCTCGATATTTTCTGGACGTTTTCCCTGTCCTGAGACTTGCCACAAACACTCGGTGCTCGGGACGGCTTTTGTCCTGAGTTGAAACGGAAGCTTAACGGTCTAACTCTGCCATAGGGAATTATGGGATTAGTTTCTCGGCTATAGGTTAATCATCGAAATGGAGTTTTGCCCGAAATATGAAATTGTAAAGCATTATGTTAGTTATTACATTTTAGGTTGGAGTAACCTAAAGAAAATTGATAAATAATAATCTCTTACTCCTACTTACTAGTAAGAGTAATTATTATTATTACTATTATTATTATTACTATTATTACTTGCTTATTTATTAGTATGCGCGTGGGCCCTGCGAGTTAATGAAATGCAATTTTATTTATCAGGCTCAAAAATTCTTTAAAAATATGTATTTTTTTATTGATGTGCAACTGAAGAATTTTGCTGCTGAAATCAGTAATGATAAGTAAAAGATTTTTCTATGGCATATCTGGGGAAATTGGTCAATATTTATTTTAAAATTCGGTGATTCGGCAACTGGTTTCAAACATTTTTTAACATCTCACAAAATTTTTGTGACATTGATGATCTCAATACGGCTGCGACCTTTCCTAAATTTACATAGGTAAATGAATTAACATTATCCCACCCAGCACCACAATATGACATGATACTCTAATCGAATATATTTTCTTTAAATTGTTACGATCGCGCTCATTGTGAAATACTGCCTCATTATTTGCACTAATAATGATGCAACGGTTTCCTCTGTCGAGATACAAGGAAAAAATGATCCCAACAACGTTCATTTTAATGCGACCTCTCCTAAATTTCCATACGGAAAAGATCAAAATAACCCTATTCCACCCATCATCACAATATGAAATGACACACTAATCAAATAACTGAAATTCCACGCATCTATTAAATGCCGTCATTGAAAGCTTTTTCTAATTTATTTCTTTCACTCTCAGCGTTTCCATTCATTTGCATTTCATTTCCTTTTAAATTGAGGAAGAGGGACCTGAGAATGATTCGAGATCTAAACAGACAAAACAAGCGTGCAAAAACTCAACCCTTGCCACATTTTGATGTCAATTCCGCAATGCGACCTTCCGCTTTTTTCGCGGAAACTCCGTATCATGAAAAAGAGGAGAGACCAATGAACGGTCAGAATATTTGATGTTATACTAGAAATTTTACGTTGCGTAGAGACTTATTTTACTTCGCAGTCGAGAATGATTCATCGTGAAAGATGTTTCGCAAGAAACGATGCTTTGGACCGATGTCACATGAGACAAAAAGATACTGGCTATGAAATTGTCTGCTTTACATAATCCAGAGAGCGTTACAAGGGGCAAATCGAAGTTCGAATTGTGTCCGAATTCAGGTGAACAATTTAATTTGAATAGTTACAACCTTGAATGACCATCAACTTTCCCATTCAAAATTTCAGTCTTTTTCCAATAGCATGGCTTGTCCATGCTGAAGTGTGTAAGCAGAAAAAATGGAAATAAAATCTCGATGATGGGAAGGCTTTAATTAAATTTGCTAAAGCAAATTTAATATCTACTTGACGTTACCATCCATGATTTCAAAAAAAAAAATTTTACTCAAAAATTGTAAGTATTTTATCGAAAAATATTGATAACCTACAATACTGAATGTTCAAAAGAACAGGCCTCTGGGCGGCTGAAACCGCATGCAGAAGTCACCATTTCCCGAAACCCGAACTTGCTGCCCAAATTTTGGCCACCGGGATCAATTCATATTCTTTTGATACGTAACCCTTGCCTGCGGTCTAATGCACACAAGTGCAGGCCGGTTACAGGCATTGGGGTATTACGGGTAGAAGATTTTCCCAGGATCCCTTGCCTTTCCTCTACCTTCCTTGGCATAAGTTCCTTTAAACGCATCCTTCCTTTTCCGTCGCTTTCTTTCCCACACATCGACCACACGACCTCATATCTTCCCATGGACTCCATCCCATGTCTTCTGTAACGGTTACAGAGAATATACGGCTCTCTGTTTGTACTGTTACACAAATAAATGACGCTCATTCGAAAAAAGATACTTTACAAAAAGTTCACCTTATTAGAAGTGTTATTCAATACAAATATTAGCCTCACGTGGAGGTAACTTCACTGTACGATGCACTCAAAAATAATAATCCACAGATATTCCACCCACATGAAATTTTTTTTCAGCATCAAGGCTTCGCTCTTAATTTTGTTATTTTAAGAAATGCCAGTCAATCAGAAGGAAAACTCTTCACAAATTTAGGCCATTACATGTGACACTGTTCTGAATAATTTATGGATCACTTACTCGCGATACTTTGATCAAATCTCTAGCTCATTCTCATGGAGAAGGTACAGAAAAACTGACCACTCTTAAGGTGGTACTACTTTAAAATACTCTTACCAGCGATACTGCTTTGAAATGACGATTGAGAAGTTATACTTCTC